AGAGGAGGAGTTTATATTAAAATATAAACTCAACCTTAAGAGTTTTGAAAAGTTTTCTTTTTTGGGAGAGAGGTGGGGGAGGTTGCCTTTAAAATGTAAATGCGTCTCGTAAAAGCTGCAGCGGGATATTCTTGGGACTGTGAGGGGAGCCGGCCTTGGAGGCCGGGAAAGGGCCAGCCCTCCAGTTGTGCTCTCTGCAGATGGTGGCCTTGCAGGGGATTCCGGTGGCCTTGCAGAGGATTCTGGTGGCCTTGTGGGGGCCTCTGGGCACTGGCAAAGGCAGGGAGGGTCCGCACAACCCCAAGTGGAGGGCAGGCCTGGAGCTGGGGGCGGGGAGCAGAGGCTGCCAAGAGGCGGATCCCAAAGTTCTAGGGTGGGAGGCAGGAGAGGGTGAGACCACACAGGAAGCTTTGGGGAGGGCAGGGTAGCGCTCAGGCTGGAGAGGGGGTGCTTTTGGGGGAGAGGGAATGGCTCCAGCCTGGTGGCTGAGAAAGGCCACTCCCAGGAAGACCAGGGCTTGTAGTGGTGGCCTTCAAGTTCTTCTCCAACTTATCCATCACACAGATGGGAAACTGAGGCCTAGGTGGGTCTGTGACTTGCCGAAGGCATAAATGAGCTGCTGGCAAAGGGTACTGGAATTCAGGGCAATGTTCTTTCCACACCATCTCTTCATGGAGCCAGGGGAAAGGGGTCTGTGGGCACCTTCAGAGGAAGGGACTTTTCAAGCACCAGAAAGGGGAAGCTAAGGGCTATTGTCTGGGAGGAAGGAAGGAGGCCCCGATGGAATATTCTGGGGGAGATGAATCTAGAGATTATAGGGGGAGATATGCCACCTTCCAGGCAGAAAGAGAGAAGCGTGACTTTGTCAATATCCTGAGCAGCCTGGTGCTAGGGACTAGGAGTGGTGGGGGGCGCACCCAATCCCCGATGGGAGAAGAAAGATCTGGCAGAGACACCGGGAGGGGAGACAGACAACCCCATCTCGGTGTACATGGAGGCAGGGGATTAGACTTGATGATCTCTGGCCCAGTAAACTCCAAAGGTCATTGTTTTTATCATTGTCACTGTGCGTTTGGATCCAGATTGCTGGGGTTCAAATCTCATTTCACCATTGATCATGGTTGGATGCTGGGAATCAACTTAACCTCCTAATCCATGGTTTAATTGCATCCATCAAATGAGGATAAATACTAGTACTTACTAATACTGTTTTCATGATTAACTGAGACAACATAGAGCAAAGCAACCAACAAACACTGCAGGCCTGACGTGTGCCAGGCACTGTATCAGTCGCTGAGGCTTCACCAGTGAGTAAGATGGGAGGCCCTGCTGTGGTGGCGTCACTGGCGTGTGCTGAGGGCTCAGTAAAAGGCTATTTGGGGTGCTGCCCTCACGATGACTGTTTGTACTCCACAGGCTACAGACGGCATTCGCATCCAGTATGTTTTCAGGCTTCCCACAACCTTAATTTTGTGAGGTGGGTATTGCAGTTGGTGAAGCAGAAGCTCAACGCCCAGAGAAGTAACTCGTCCTGAATGATGCGGCTAGTCAATGGCAGAGGGGACCGGCCACCCACATCTGTCTGACCATCCAGGTTTCTAACTCCTGTTGCAGAGGAGGGAAGTTGTGTGTGTGCATAGGTAGGAGTAGGGTGAACTAGGGAAAGGATATATCCCTTCTCAGTGTTCAGGGGTGTCAAATCTGATGCTGTGAAGGACAGAACATCTCTCCTGGGGCATATGCAGGCCTCTGCCCCACCCCCTGGCCAATCCTGGCGTGCCTAATTCTGCTTGGCTCCCGGGGCAGCTCAGCACATATTTGGAGACTGAGTCAATGAGCAAGCCAGGCGTTCTCCCTTCTCCTTCCCTTCCTCGTTCTCTCTCTGGTTCCCTCTTTGTTCCCAGCTCCGCTTGCCTACCCTGACAAGATTCGACTGCAGAGAGGTAAAGGCTGAGATGCCTTCTAGGACACAGAGAGTTTCAATACAAGCTCCTGGCTGGTTCCAAAGGCACAGTTAGGAAGCAGATGGGCTGAGTGCCCCACCTGGCCAGTGCTGGGGGGACCCCAGGGAGGGGGCTATGGATTGAATTGTTCCCTCCAACATTCACATGTTGAAGCACTAATTCCCAGTGTGGCCATAGTTGGAGATAGGACTTTTAGGAGGGAATAAAGGTTAACTGAGGTCATATGGATGGGGTCCTAATCTAGTAGGCTTGGCAGTTTTGTAAGAAGAGGAGAGATCTTTCTCTCCAGGTGTGTTTGCGGAGAGCAGGAAGGCGGCCGTCTGCAAGCTAAGGGGAGAGCTCTCACCACACTGGCACTCTGATGCCAGACTTCAGGCTTCAGAACTGTGAGAAAATAAATGCCTGTTGTTTTGACCACCCAGTCTATGGTGTTTGTTACAGCAGCCTGAGCAGACTAGTACAAGGGGGAAGAAGGTTCCTGGTCCTGCTCTTTCCCATGTGGGCCTTGCAAGCTCAGAGAGATCAAGGACCCATGCCTGGATCAAGTGGGCTCCTGCCCCAGCTTGTCTCAGACAAGAGCCTTTCTTAGGCTCTTATTCCTTTTCTGGCTTGAACTCCACGTCCTCACAGCCTCCTCTTCCCATCCTCCTTCTTTCCAACCCAGACTTCAGACCCCATCTCCTGCCCCTAAGTCCTATTTCTAATGTACAAATTTGGTCACTTACTCTCTGGCTGAAAAGTCCCTGATGTCTCCCCATTACCTACAGGATGAAGTCCTAACAGGCTGCCATGTATGACTGTGCATTGTGCAACCTGCACAACTGTACACAGTGGTCCTGAGTCCAACCTCATTTGTTCGTTGATTCATTCATTCATGCATTCAACAGGTATTCATCCCCTAGGCATTTTCAGTTTAGTTCCCAAGGCTCTTGATAATCCAGTTTTTGCCTCTTTTCTCTGTTTACTCTCCTACCTATTCCCTTAGGTATCATATACTTTAGCCACACTGAACATTGTACCTTCTCATATCTGGGTGCTTCACATAAAAATTCACTCATCTGCTTGTTTGAGAATGCTGAGGCACATATTCAAAATCCTATTTCTTCTGCCATTTACTAGCTCAGTGAATGTGGGAAAATTAACTGAGTCTCAGTTTTCTAATCTGTAAAGTGGGATTAAACACATATAATATGTCTCACACTGCACTTAGCACCTAGGAGCCTCTCCTTATAGATAGCTTTTCCCTCCTTCTTTGCATGCTAAACTCCTATTCATCCTTGAAGACCCAACTTGAATGTTACCTCCTTGGTAACACTGCCCTTCTTCCCTCCAAATGGGTAAAGTTTATCTTCCTTGTTTCTACCCTTCTTGCCAGCCCTACATGGCACTTAAAAAACTCTTATAATGCTATTGTATTAATCTGTTTTCCTGGCTCACATGAGAAAGCATACAGACAGAAAACATTTGTTGCATACATCAAGGTACCTATCTCTGGGTTGGGAGCACTTAACCCCCCAGCACTGTCCTCGTTCCAAGCCCTCAGCCTATTGAATGGCATGAGAATTACAGACAGGAGGCCAAGGATGAAAGAGCAGAGGTGAACAGCCTCAGCCTCAGTGGGAGAGGAGTGTGGGGAGGTGGCTAGTCAGGTGGGGCTTGGGGTGAGGGTGCATCACCCTTGTGGGGAGGCCGCTCTGTGGTCAGGGAGGAGGCAGGGTTTATGGGGGAGGGGAATCTGCATCTTGAAAGATGATTGGCAGTGCAGGGGGCTGCCCTTCTCCCTTCCCATCAGCTCCAGCAGCAGCTGGGCTCCAATCATGTGGGACAAAGGGGTGAGGGGATTAAATGGGGCAAGACTGATAGGGAAGGCTTTTCTGTAAAGAGGGAGGTGGGGTGGAGGAGAAAGGTGAGGAAGGAGGGGGAGACATTGGGAGAGGGGAGTGAGGGAGGGATGGGCAGGTGGTGTATGTGTATAGAGAGAAGGATGGAGAACGGGATGGAAATCTGGGAGAGGTGACATTCGGGGAGGGTGCTGGGGAGGTGGGCTTCAAGGGCCACGAGGCCTGGACGCTCTTGAGGAGAAAACTGGGTGTTCCTGTTGGGTGTGAAGCCCCCTCCCTTCCTGGCCCCTGGCTCCGTAGCTGCCCCTTCTTCCTTTCTGCCCCCAGCCCTCTTACCCTTACTGATATGCCTGCTCTGCCCATCAGCAAAAGTCCAAGTCAAATTCTCTGGAGGAAAGATGAGCTGTGGCAAATGCATTAGAGATATTACCTGCCATAGACTCTGTCTGTGGCTAGGCCAACGTGGGCCTGGAGGGTGGGGTGGCCGGAGCTGCAGTTGGGTAGTGAGAGAGGAGGCAGGGGCTACTCAACAGTGGTTCAAGGCCACTGGGAGGGCCTCTTCACAGGCCCTCCAGGGCAGCGCCTGCCCCTGGGTCGCATAGCTCAGCTTAAACAAAGCAGTTCTTCCCTTCCTGAGGCTCTTCAGGAAAGCAGATAGCCCCTTTGGCCTCCTCCTGCACCACTTGGCGAGACTTAGACTAGCAGCTGGCAGAAGCCAGAGGTAGAACTCAGCAGGCCAGGGTGGGATGATGAGGCAAGTGTCTAGTTCTCTAGGCCTGATCTGGGTTCAGGGACTCTGCCAGACTCCCCTTGAGCTGCCCACGTTTCACCCACCAATCCTAGTCCCTCAGGGAGCCTGAGTGAGCCCTTGGAACCCATCACGGGTGGCACAAGTAACTCACCTTTGGCTCTGGGACACCAGGGAGATTTTTGTGTCCTCCCGGCAGGGTAGCCGGAAAGAGGTCATAAAGAAGAAGCACAGGAGGGTCAGCCACGTGGGGGACATGGAACAGTGTGAGAAACAGTTTGTCAACGGAAAGCCAATGGGGATCATACCGCTTTGGCCAGGGGTGTGGGAGGGGGTGCGGCATACCTGGTCTTCTCTAAGACCCAGCCATCGCCTGCCCGCTCAGATCCCCGTCCCTGTTCCGGTCTCCATCTCTGAGGGGACAGCCCCAAAAGCCTCAGAACCAACTGCTGTGCAGACAGACACTTTATTTTCTGTGACGGGGGCTACACAGGCCCCCATGGATACAAGGGGAGCTCTGTGCCAGCCTCCAGGCTATGACCTTGAGAACCTTGTCTAGCATTCTGTAGTCTCTGGGATGGGGCCTGACCACAGGCCTGGTGGGCTGGTTTTAGCCGGTCCTACCAGCTCAGGGCCGCTTTAGTCCGGTTTAATTTTCTGGGTTGAAATCATAACTCCTCAGGCCCATTGCTGGCCAAAGATAATGATGCTCTGGCAAGGCCCACAGCTGGGAGGGGGAGGCCCTTGTTGCTTGTCGAGCAGAAATCGGCTTCTTCTCCGAGTCTTCTCTTCCACCCTCATGGTATGGTTTCCTTAGGACCCCAGGCTTGCTAGACAAACTATTCCAGCTTCTTGGGAGCCTTGATGGGGGTCGGGGAGGAAAGTCCGTGCAGCCTCTGCCAGCCTCTTGGGGTGGCTGCCTGTTTGCAGTCCTGACTCTCCGCTGCCCTCGTGTGGCTGTGGGGCCCGTTGATGCCACACCACTGTACAGGGCGTGCGTGCGTGCGCGCGCGCGCACTTAGCAGGACTGGAGCTGAGACAGAACCAGAGAAATCTGGCCCTTGTGTCTTCTCTCCTGCCCCTACTCCTGATGTGTGGGTTCCACAAGTAACACTAAGGCAGTTGTGACACCAGCTGAAGGACACTTGTTTGCCAAAAAATTGAAAGAAAAGATAGGGCTCATTATACTCATTTGTAATGGTGGAGATTTGATGTCAAGAACGTGAGGGCAGTAGGAGGTCTCCGACTATGGGGGCAGGTTTCCTTTTGCCAAGCTGCCCCCTCCAATGTGGCCGTGTCAGCCTAAAGAACCCAGGACAACTTTGTCCTGGCAAGAGTTGCCTAAGAAGCTGTCAGGGATGTGGGAAAAGGAGAAGATATGGAGAGAGGTCTAGTCAGTCTGTTTCCCCTTTGCTCCTCATTCCTTGGGTACCATGTGGGCCCAGGCCGGCCAGGTTCCAGGGCCCTGTGGGTCCTGACCCGGCACACAGAGAGTCACAGGGCTCTAGCTCAGGCTGCTGTGTCAGTAGTGTCCAGGCTGATGGAGGCAGGGGTCCTCAGCTTGTCCCCTGTGGGGGTCCTCAGATGTGGTGTGCTTCAGAATCACAGGGAACTTAAGATGCTCACCAAAGTCTGAGGAGAACAGCTGATCCTGTCTATCGGCTCCCTTTTATGGGTGAGGAAACTGAGGCCTGGTTGGGGGGGTTCTGGATGAAGTTCACTGCTGAAGGTCACAGGAGTCCAAAGATTTCAACTTTTTACTGTTCTCCTCCAGTCCAGTGTATGCATGTGGCCACCAGCCCTTGTTCAGGGGCTCCAGCCCCTTGGATGTCTGGGAAGGGGCCCAGGGAGCAGCTCCCTCCCTACATCCTGTCTGCGTCCTGCAGCAGGGTGCCCACCAGGTTGATGACCTGTGAGGCTGGCTGGACTGCGTCATACTCTGCGAAGAGGTGGCATACATTCTCCTGTGACTCAGTCTGGTTCTTGGCCACAAATCCAAAGATCCTGGTGGGACAGGGCAGCCCGAGTGAAGAGTGGGGCCTGGGGAGGCCTGGGAGGGGAGCTCAGCCTATACAGCCTTCCTCCCTGCCCCTTTCCCAGCCCAAGGGCTCCAGCACCTCATGATGGGAGTAGGACCTGCCTCCTCTGTCAGGCTGGGAGAGCCATGAGTTCAAGATCTGGGTTTCTCATTTTGAAAGGGGGCTGCCTACAGACCTGTGTATTTCCCATTAGAGTAGATGCTTCCTGAGGGCAAGGATGGGTCTTGATTGGGGTACCCCCAGTAGTAAGGCTACTTGGAGTTAGAGTCTGTGCCTCTCACATAAAACTGAGGTCTCCTAGGTCCATTTCTCCCTCTTAGTCTGGAGGCTCCCTGAGGGTGGGGCCCTGTGCTTCCCCCATCAAAACCATAGGCTCTTAAGGTCAGCATGGCCCTCCTTCCCCAGCTTCCTCCTTATGCTGTTGCCCCAGGGGAACTCTGATGACACCTGACTGCACCAGGAAGGCCTTACCGGGAGGGCTTGCAGTACTTCTGCCACCTGTGGGAAAGGACCAAGAGCAGCAGTGAGCACCAGGGCTTTGCTCCATCCACAGGGCTCTGGCTGGGCAGCGGGGGAGAGTGGCCAGCTTTGCCCCGCCACCAGGATGCCCCGCCCTCCTCATTCTGCTGCTCCTGGCCCCATGAGGTCGCAGGCTCTGTCTGGGACCCCAGTCCCAGCATCTGCAGGAGGCCTTGGTGGGCAGCTAGGCCCGAGTTGGCCTTCTTAGTCTGGCCCAGGTTTGAACTTACTTCCGTTGTTCAGGGTCTGTGCCACAGAAGCGGAGGGTGGTGAGGGGGTAATGGCGCCGGAAAAACACCCTGTGAGGAAGGGGGAAGAGAAGGGGAACTGGTGAGAGCCCGTTCGTGTCATGCTCCACCTCCATTGTCTCCAGCTCCTCTGAAGTTCAGATGACCTTTCCTTCCAAGGAGATTGTCAGTTAGACCCTTACAGCCTGCTGTGGCCTTTCCCACCTCTGGGCCCTGGGGCACATGTTTGCACTTTCCCATTTTCATGGAGGGCATCTGCCCTGTGTTCTATGTATTGGGTTTTCTAACTCCCCCAAACCATGTCACTTAAACTACTTGAGGACAGGAATGATGTCTTGGTTATCTCCAGCTCCTCTGGCCCAGGGCCAGGCTCCTGCCTGACTGCGAATCCTTGACCCTGGGAAGGAGGATCTCATCCCACTGGGTCCCACTGGCCAGCCAGAGTCTGGCCTACAGATGTGCCATCAGTGGGTGCAGATTCAATCAGCACCCAATGAATACTGGTCAAGTCCATCTCCATCAGTCACAGTGAAGGGGGACTTCGGCAGGAGTTCATTGGAGTAGGCCCAGAGAAGGCAGAGAACTTGCTTGGGCTTACTCAGCATGTCTTCGACCCTGCTGGGTCCAGGATCTTGAACCCTACCTTCACTGACCCACGGCTGGCCCAGCCATCCCCTCCAGCTCACTTTGCCCAGCCCCAAAACTCCAGGACAAGGGCAGTCCCTTACTTTCTCTGGATGTCGGTCAGGGTGATGCCCTGCTCAGTGACTTTGAAGTGGACCACAGTGGGCGTGGGGAGAACATCCCTCTCCAAGGTGGTGGAGATGGCCTTCTGCACAGCCAGGGCTCCGGTCAGGGTCTCCACACTCACGGAGCTCAGGTAGAGGGCGTGGCAGCCTGTGGGAGGGAGATGCTGTGCTGGGGCTCTGCCAGGACCCACGGGTGTGTGGGGTCAGGGGATAGGACTCCTCCTTCTGCAGGAAGGCAATGGGGCTCCTCTTTGAGCCACCAGGCAGGCAGGGACTGTGTGGGTGACCACAGCTGAGGCCAATCCCAGAGGACTTTGGGGTTGTTTGCTGCTTTGCATTGTTCTGGCCCTTGGCCGTCCAGGCAAGAGAGGGGATGTTGCCTTATAGGGCGTCCAGGCAAACCTTTCATCTGTCCAGATGCATGGCTGCCTCCACCTGCACCCACCCTGGGGCTCTGGTTCATTGGTGAGAGAAGAGAGAGAAGACAAGAATGGGGAGTGGCCCTAGTCCTCAGGAGTAGGAGCTGTCACTCAGAGAAGTGCTGATCTGTGCTGGCCTCTGGACATGAGGAAGGGGGATATTTCTCCTGTAGAAACCCCCAGGAGTTGGACCTGACACCCCAACAGAGGATCCCAGACCCAGAGACCACATTCAGGTACCTTAGACCCAGATCTAAATGGACCCCAGCACACCTGCGGGATGGGATGTAAGCCTCCTCAACACCCCTCCGCTCCTGCCCCTCTTCCTCCTGGCCCACCGCCTGAAGCCTCTCATATCCTGGCTTACAGGAAGGGGAGGAATGTGGCACCTTGTTAAAGATGAAGAAATAAAAAACCTGTGATGGGAAACACGTGTGGACCTGTGTGTGCGGGTGTGTGCCGCAGGGCTGGGAGGCGCCCTCGGGGCCCAGTCGGGTGTGGAGCCGGCCCCATACCACTCACCTGCAGAACTCTTCAGGCAGGAGGCTCGGCTGTCTGTAGAGGGGTCTGAGGCCCCATCTCCACCTCCCAACTCTGAGCCAAAGCAAAGGAACAGGCCCCCAAGGGGCAGGAGCAGAGTGAATGGACCCTTCTCACAGGAACATTAATCCCTTTGAACATTCCCACCTCCGCCCCCACCTTCAGGAAGTGACTGGGCTGAGAAACCAGGTGTGATCACTGTAACTAGGCAAATAGGGCCACTCCGGGCTCCCCAAACGCCTAACTTGCAAGCCTTTTGATCCCTCCTTTGTGTCTTCACTCCTCCAGCCCTTGGGCTGTTGCAGTGGCCTGGTCCTCGGAGGCTCCTGACCTACTGGCTTCTTTCAGACTCCACTGCAAGCCCGGGCCTCCCTGCCGCTGACCCCTCTCCAAGGGCCGCCTCTCTCCTGCTACTCCCCCTGCACACCTAGAGATGACCAACTCCATCTGGGGGTGCAGCTGGGCTATAAGCTCTGAATGGGGCTTCCTGATCTGGGTTCGAGGTCTGTCAGTGCCTGTGGGTGAATTACTTATTGCCTCACACCCTCCTTGTCTTATCTTCGAAACGGGGGCAGCCACAACATCTGCTTCTCAGGGTTGTAGTGGGTTTGAATAAAGGGGGTAATGCTCAGTAAGTGCTGAACCTGGAAGAAAAAAACAAACCTTTCCAAACCAACTTTCATCCTCCCAGACAAAGCTATTATTTATCAAACACCTACAGGCATTGGGCTAAGAGCCCTGCCTAGCTCTTTCCATTAATCCCCATGCCAATCCTGCATGATACGACTGTCCCCATTTCACAGATGAAGAAACTGAGGCTCAAAGAGGTCAACACTCTTAAATTCTCACAGCTAGGAAGTGGAGATGTTGATGGACCCTACAGCATGCACTTTCAACTGTGACACCAAAATAATCCATAAATAAGGTGAGATGTGACCACCAGGAACCTTACTAATAAGAACAAACAGGGCCAGGGCCTCAGTGCTGCCTCCTTGGGGCCCAGACCCACCTTTCTGTGGGATGGTGAGTTTGCAGGGCAAGGCCAGCGCCATGATGGAATGTTGGCACACGAAGGCAGAGAGGCTTCCTACAAGGCGACAGGCAGCCCTGTGTGAGAGGGCCTTCCCTGGCCACCCTCCCAGCCCAGAAAGGCAAGGTCCCCCGGGGGGCCTGCAGGCTGAGAGGCTCACCAAAGTAGGGCTCTTCATCTGCTCCTTTGAGATGCACCCCTTTGGCAGAAGACTCGATGAGGAAGTGGCGGATAAGGTCACTGTTGTCCTCAGCTGGTCACAGAAAGAAGAAGGAGTGTATGTGGGAGTTCCACAGCCCTGTTATGAAACACTGACCAACTCATTCCCTGACCCGCCTCCTCTCGGTCCCTCCAGCGGTTAGCTTGTCCATATCGCTGCCTCTGGGTGGGGCTGCAGATAGAGTCTTATCTTCCAGGCCTCCCACAAAGGGGGTACCAATGCCTTTGCTCAAGGCTTCCATGCCCAATAATTCTCCTTTCAGGAGACTTTTCTCTAGGTTTTGAGAGTTACCAGGGATGGTTCCTGATGACTGTTGATCAACTTGTCAGCTTGATTTCTCTCTCCCCCTAACCACTCCTTCCCAGGAGCTATTCTCCACCAGTGTTCCTGCTGGAGCCAGGCTGGCCCTGGGAGGCTGAGCAATGCTCCTCTGTCTCCTCTCACCAGCCCACAGCTTCTGCTTCTCTTTGGGCTTGTTGGCAAGGTTTCCTTGATAACCAACACCACCCCAGAGGTCACGTGTTTATTTCAACAGAGAGGTGTAGTGTAGAGAGCACAGAGTTGGAGTTCTCAACCTCGCTCCAACATTTACTTGCTCTGGGGGTCATTAACTAACGCTTGGAGACTCAGTTACCTTCTCTGTTTGTTACATGAGTGCCACACTCATGGGATTTAGTGTGGGATATTACCTAAGTACCTTGTACTGTAATGACGTGCTTTCATCTGTCTCCCTGGGAAGGTGTCCCAGTGAGGACCCCTGGTGTACGGTGATGTTCTATAGATAGATGTGTGTTGCGTGTGTGAGACATGGGAAACCATGTGATAAGATAAGCCAGCACACACATGATAAATGAGCACACACATGTGATTAAGATAACACACACAGGCTCTCTCATGATAAATCTGGTCTGGACAGGGGTGGGCACCCAGATGACAGCAGCGTGGAGAAGGGCTGGGACCTCCTCCTCTTCTTCCCACCGTGACAGTAGAATGGGGAGTTTGGGGACTCAGGGAGGCAGAGGCAGAGGCGGCTCACGCTTGCCGTGAAAGGAGAATCTCAGCGAGCGCTGGTGCTGGAGGGCAGCTGGGAGGGCGCTGAGCTGGACCCTCCTTCCAGGAGTCTCTACAGGCCTGGCCCAGGGTCACCCTGCAAGCTAGTGGAAGAGCTGAGACTAGAGCCCACCACAGCCACTGCCTCTGCAAGATCTTGAGCCAGGACAGGGACAGGTGCATACCTGGTTGGTTCTGGGCAGGTCCAGGGGCCTCCTGCACCTTCAAGGCAAGGCCGAAAGAGCCCCGGTAGGAGGAACTGTCCCTCACGACGAAAGCCCCTGGCTCCTCCTTCCTCAGCAGCTCAATTGCTGGAACAAGCCTTGGGTCAGAGACAGTTACCCCCCTTTGTCCCCTGGACCCTCTTTGTCCCTAGCCCCACCAGTCTTCATAGAGCAGACGTTATAGAATCACTTTTGTTCCCAGGAAGCCCTTTCTGTTGTCTGATCTCCACCATTCCTGCTGTAGTCCCTATTTCCTTGGGTTGTGAGGGTTGCAGGACACCCTCTCTTGGACCTGCCATTTGCCATTCCTTCCTCTACTATGACCCATGGTCCCAATCTCCCAAAGTGGGGTGCAGGACTCCTGGTCATGGATCCCCCGAAACACAATGCTTCCTTTTACCTTGTTCCCGGGTGATGCTTGGCTTAAACCAGTATTTAGATGTGTCCATCACAAACTTCATGGTAGGCTGGATGTCCCTGGTGGGACCTGGAGACAGAGAAGGGGGATGCTGTAGACTGGACAGAGGGGACCTGAGAGACCCTCTCCTACTCCTCTACCCACAGGTCCCATTCAGCCCAATCTACCCTACTGTGACCCCATTGTATGTTCAACTGCAAGAAGTCAAATCCAATAGAAGAATCCAGAGCTTGGCACATCTAGGACCTTAGGAGTCTCCCCTTGTGTCCTTGGTAACGGGTCACAAACAAGGAGATAAAATCTCAGTTTAATGAGAACCAGTTTCTCAAATCCAGTGTTGCCTGGTGTGGGCTGAAATAAAGGATAAATAAGGGATTCTGAGATATATCATTTGTTTGATTTCATACCCTCTTCTCCCTTAAAAATCCTATGAGGTCCTTGGGAGTATATTCAGTTCAGAAAAGAAAATGAGAGAAAAGGTGGAGGAAAGGAACACCATAGATTTGGGTAGAAGTGCCTGCACTTGGGAGATCAGGAGACAGGGTTCTTGACTCTGATTCCTGAAGTCCAGAGGGGACTGAGTGAACTAAAAAAACCTCTGAGGGTCTTTAGCACCCCAATAGCCCAGGAGATTAAAATGAATATTGATTTGATATATTTTGCAGAATTTGATAAGATCCTAGGTTATAACTAGTGATAGCCAGGATGGGAATATCACCAGGCTAAGTCAATGTGCTCTTTGAGAAGCCAATAATGGCCATTTTCCTGGGTCTCAAAGGCAGAAAGCAGTGGTCTTCAATTTTGGCATCTTGAAAAGGTGTGTTGTGGCCAGTTTAGAGTAACTCATTGTGAAAAATGTAATAACATCTGCAAATGATTTATTCTAGGTAAACTATCTGAGTAGATTCAAAGGCATATCGGTCAGGCCATTTTCTCTTGCAGATATTGACATGGCTGCATGAGTGGGAGTGAGCAGTGGATTGGAGTGAACATTCCACACCCTCCAGGGTCACCTTGATGCCTGCAGCTGACTGGGGTTCTGAGAAGCCCCAGGGTAGGCAGGGGCTCTACTCCCAGGAGAGGCACTCCCCGTGGGTGCCAAGGCTCAGCTTCTGTGTTTACTGCTTTAGTTCTGGTTGCTTTTGTTCTTTTTTGGACGCCTGTAGCCACAGACTACAGGAAGGAGGGTGTTTGCTATTTTGTGGTTTTTAACTGTCTGAACTGGAATGCATTGTCTCCGTTGCCCTGTCCTCCCCTCTGCATGCTCGTCATTCACGAACGTCAGAGGTACGACTGACTCTCCCTCTTCTGGGTTAGTCATCAAGCCTGCCGCTTCGGTATCCTGAGGGTCTCCTGGCTCTGTCCTCCGTCCTCCACCCACTCTGTCCTGCCCTGTTTCAGGCCCCCACTACAGCTTGCCCGGACCACTTAATGATGAAAATCCATATAAGACCAAATAAAGACTGCTCCCCTGCCCAGGCCAGGCACCGCAATTCAGCTGCCATCAGTCTGCCAGGCTGAACTATTGAATGTGCATCTCTGATCCCATCAATTTCCAGTTTGAGACTCTGATGGCACCCCATTGCCTAAAGGGTAAAATCTATTCCTTAGCTTGGTGTTCAAAGCCTTGCACAATCTGGCCCCAGGTTACTCTCAATGACCTCACTCCACACCCAATACCCCAGTCATTTCCTAAACACTCAGTGGCCTTCCACACCTTCATGACTACAAAGTCACTCCTCTTGGGAAAGCCCTTCTTTTCTTGCTCTGGCCTTGGACTTTCGATCCTCTTTCCAGATCCTGCTCAGCTGTCACTTCCTCTGAGGAGTCTTCCTAGTTCTCCAGACTAAAAGATCATTCCTTCCTCTGTTGCCCCATGACACTTAGGACATCTCTTTACCCCTGTGTTTATCATACTCTATAGTGATCCTTGTTTCTGTCTTTCTAGACTGTTTGTACATTTCTGTATACCTACCACCTGGGGATAGTGCTTGGCACTCAATGTATTGATCTGCCTTTGCAGAAACCCACTGGTGTTTTATCTATTTCCCCCTAGCCAAACCTTCCAATATTTGAGGTGTGGGATTACAACATACCCTCTGGGGATGTGGTGAGAGGGGCATCTGTCAGGGTCTGGCTGTGGCTCCTGGCAGCTGGATATGGGTTGCTGGAAGATGCCATTTCCTGCTGGACAAAATCCTGGTGTCCTGTGGTCTGCGGGGATGGGGGACACCCAGGTTCCGGGCAGCCGTTGATCAGCACGATGGGTATGTCCACCATGGAGTTGGCGATTGATGGGGGGCAGCTGCTGGCATGCTCCTTGGCCAGTGGTGGGGAGTGGGTTGCTCTGAACTGGCTCATGCTTGGGATGGGGTTTCTGGGGACCTGGAAGTCACTGGCTCTTGTACACAGGGACACTGGGCTGAGGCTGTGGAGGCTGGAGGAAGAGCTGGCTGGGCTTTCCAAAGATCTAGAAGACGACTGATGGCTGGAAATGCTGGAGTGGAGGAGGGACTGGCTGCTGCAGAGGAGAGAGCACCAGACCAGACAGGCAGGTGTTAGGGTGGACACTCAGGGGCCAGAGCCAGACTCTGGAATCTACTATCTAGGTGCCCATTGCTTTGGTTAAATAGAACTGTTTACTCCATCTCCCACAGCCCAGAGCAAGGGACATGACCCCTGATCCCTAAAGAATGCCAAAGGATATAGAAATGTCCCTGCATTGGAGTCTCCGGTCATTTAAAGTAACCAAGAGCTGAGCCCCTGTAGGTCATGTGGGCTTAGGCTGGACAGGGTTCCCTCTGCCTCCCCAGCCAGGCAGGTGTTACTGAGCTGTCACACCAGCCCCTGAAAACCTCCAAGAGCCCGGCACGCAGGTTGGACCTAGGCTGGACCATGTCCATGGCTGATGAAGAGAGAATTCCCAGCTGGAGGAAGAGAAGGAGGTCAGCTCTGCCTCCAGCCAGACTTCTCTCTGAGCTCGAAGGCCCACTAACATGCATGGCTGCGGGCCCCAGCCTCCCTGCCAGGGAGCTGCCTTGGCACAGCAGCTTTGGAGTCAGGGAAGGGGGACAGAGGCCCCGTGGTTTGGTCTTCCCGGGCAGGATGGGTGTGCGTGCAGCTCCACTGTGAGGCTGCAGAGAACCGGGCTGGGCAATAATAAAAATAAAAATAAAATGAAAAATAAAATAATAACGCCCAGGCAAGTTTGCTTTCCTCCTGCTAAGTTTTGTCAGCAGCAAAGAGGAAGGAGGCTTTACTTCCCTAAGTGGTTCATCCCATGCCACCAAATTCTATTTACACCTCTGTCTTGAGGTTTAAAAAAACACCTTCCTTAACCACCAAAGACCCCGAATAGCCAAAGCAATCCTGAGAAGGAAGAATAAAGTGGGGGAGATCTCACTCCCCAACTTCAAGCTCTACTACAAAGCCACAGTAATCAAGACAGTTTGGTACTGGCACAAGAACAGAGCCACAGACCAGTGGAACAGAATAGAGACTCCAAACATTAACCCAATCATATATGGCCAATTATATATATGATAAAGGAGCCATGGACATACAATGGGGAAATGAAAGTCTCTTCAATAGATGGTGCTGGCAAAACTGGACAGCTGCCTGTAAGAGAATGGAACTGGATCACTGTCTAACCCCATACACAAAAGTAAATTCAAAATGGATCAAAGACCTGAATGTAAGTCATGAAACCATAAAACTCTTAGAAAAAAACATAGGCAAAAATCTCATGGACATAAACATGAGTGACTTCTTCATGAACATATCTCCCCGGGCAAGGGAAACAAAAGCAAAAATGAACAAGTGGGACTATATCAAGCTAAAAAGCTTCTGTACAGCAAAGGACACCATCAATAGAACAAAAAGGTATCC